TGGCACACACAAACAGATCTGCCCCTGAAACATGCCTGTGGGAAATAAGGCACAAACAAAAGTGAAGCATCCAAAAATGACCATTTTTAGTATTATCAAATTTGCTAATCATTAATATAGAAATACACAAAGTTGAAAGAGTCTAAAAAAACAAGAAGCAGATCTCACATGGCATTTATGCTCTCTGTTAGGTTGGCTTCAAATGTAAGAAACTGTTTGCCCTTTTTAGTATATCCCCTCACTTCAGAGCCTGAGCTCACAAAGATCTTTTCCTGCGGGGTTCCCAAAGCCCCTCCAAGCTCAAGTCTGGAGATCTTCTGTCCTGGGAGCGATTTGAACACAGGCTGACAAAAAAAAGACATACATTTATTCTCATAAAATTTATTCTCATAAATGAGAAAAAAATATTGTTTCATTTTGTTGGTACTCAAGAATTATTTCTTATAATTATCAATCTTGAAAACCGTTGTGCTGCTTAATATTTTTGTGGATAACGAGATACATTTTTTTCCTCAGGATTTTTTGATTAATAGAATGTTCAAAAGAACAGCATTTATTATTTGAAACAGACATATTTTTACATATTTTTAAAGACATAATCATAAATGTCTTTACTATCACTTTTGATCAATTTGATGCATCCTTGCGGAATTAAAGTGTTAATTTCTTTCAACATCTTACGGACCCAAACTTTTAAATGCTAGTGTTTACTAAAAACAGGAAATACTTCTGATACATACCACAGCCTCCCCTTTTTTCATTCCAAAACAAGTCACAACACCATCATGATCTGCAACAGCCACCTGAAATGAGAAAATGCCATCAGGTTGCTTATAGACAAATGCTTGTTCCCTGTTTGATTGAGTGGGGGAGAAATGTCAAGCACATGCTCAAATAAATAGGACACGTCGAATGCTCTTTCACAAGTGGGATCTAATCTCTAGCACCCTTGTTTTACAAAGTAAGCCCCTAAAATAGTCTACAGCAGAAACGTCATTAAGCCCTTGAAACTATGGAAAGTTGATCAGACTGTACATTTCTGTTACAGATATTAATACCTTATTTCCTAGATTTGATAGTAAGTTTTAAGACTGACTTTCCTGTTAAAAGAATATTCCTTGTTCAATGTAATTACTTTTAATTTACTGTTGTTGTTTTGCATAACTGTCAGCACTGTGAGGAATGAGTAATATTATTTG